GGAAACTACTTTAGGATACTTGGATGACCTCCAATGTTTATATCTAAAGAATGTTGTCCTTACGGTTTTTTCTTGTTTGGAAAAAAATTGAACTCTCAAAAAAAAAAAAGGTCAAGTACTTCGTTTGCAGTTTGATTTGAGCATTTATGAGTTGTGTATGGATTATTTTGGTTTGGGGATGAGAAACACTTTATGTTGATTAGGGATGAGTAGCGGAGTAGTCGAGTAGTCTATTTACTCGACTGGTATGATTGTTTATTTGAGCCACTTTACCCATATATATCTTACCTTTGACCAAAAGCCTACGCTACAACCCGAGAAGACCTTTTGATTTAAAGCTCATAATAACTAGTTGTGTTTGAAGTAGGGTGTTAGATGATTGGCAAACATATAGTTAACCGGGTGTTTAATTTGACTTGAGCGTATCCTTCTCTTTTACTGATGACATGTGAGTGAGGCACTTATATTATTCCTATTTGAGGGTTCGTTGATTCAAGGTAGACACAAAATAGTAGTCAAAAGCATGATATTTATGATCGTTTGAATTTTTCTTGGTTGCATTGAAGTACTTGAAGTTGTTCTAGTTTGATATCACTCATTATGCTTGAGTTTTTATTTTCTTATTCTTGTTCGGGGATGAACAAGGGTTTAAGTTTGGGAGAGTTGACATTCATCATATTTTCATGCTATGAGTGATATAGTGTGATGTTTAACTGTATTTATCGTGGGATTGTGCACCATTTTGTTTGATTTATTAATCTATGATACAGGTACATTTGCCATTGGTTTTGTAGGAAATATGCCCGAAAGAGCGTTAAAGATGGAATTGAGACGAAAAACGGCAAAAACAAGGTGCAGGCAGGTCACATGACTCGTGTAAATAGGTGACACGAGTCGTGTGGGTTGAAAAGATGACGAAACTGAGGAATTTTGCTTCGGCTTTTTCACACTACTCGTGTGTCAAGTGACACGGGTCGTGTGACCTCACACGGGTCGTGTGACCGGTCGTGTGAGTCTGGGAGTTGGCCAAAAATTCGAAGAAAGTCACACGACTCGTGTGGCATATGACACGAGTCGTGTGACGCGCAGAGAGACCAGCGGAAAATAGGATTCCTACGCGATTTTGTCCCTTTTTCGACCCAAATTTGCCCTACAATATATAAGGAACATGGAGAACACGGTTTTGAGGCTTTTGACACCATTGAATGCCTAGAGAAAGCACAAAGCACACGAAGGATTCGAGGATGTCAAGATTGGAGATTCGGGAATTAACGGCGACAATAGTTCTTCTTTTTTTTTTCTTTTTCTTCTTCATTGAACTCATGGACTTATTTATTTTGAGTATTGAGAATATGTTTAGTTACTAAATCTCTTTGAGATTCTAGGATTTGCGAGTACTCAGATTATTTTATGAAGTGATTTTGTTTATTCATTCCGACCTATCTTTCGTTTATCAATTTT